TTACTCGCATAGCTAATAGTGATCCTGAATCTAAATGACAATCTGTCAATTTTGGCACAAGTCGGACAGCATTAACCATGTTCAAATTATGAAGTTCTTTCAGATGCTTCGTCAATATTACTTTACGATCAGATAAAATGTCATGCTTGATCGAATCTTGGTACTAGGTGTGGATTTAAATGACTCTAACAAACGAAAGTTAAATAATGTCTTCAGAAGTATGGAACTAGGTGATCAATCTGCCTAATCTGATTTGGATCTAGATTTAAAAAGTCTGGAAATTAATCGTGCAACTTGAAAAAAATTGATAAACAAGCCAATAAATTGAATAAAGATTTTGCATTTAGCATTGACTAGTTCTTTAAGTGCCTTGTTTATGATGTCTAACATTTGTTATAACGTACGAATGGTTTTAGCTAAAGCAATTCGTTTTTCTCTTATTAGAGCAAAACTATGTAGATTCATTAAATGAAATTACAAGAAGTTGTTTATCGAGTAAGTTGTTTTAAGAAGTAAGTTACAGCAGCCGTGGCGCAGTAGTAGCGCACTTGCCTCAGAAACGTAAGATCCCTGGTTCAAACCCCACCTCTGGGGAAGTTTTGCGACATCGGTTGGGAAGGAGGCGTGAACTTCGTATTAAATGCTCTTCCGCGGTGCTCTGTGATAAAACCGTAAGGACTTCTTGGGGCACCCTAAAATCAACATTAAAAAAAAAAGTATTTTTTTGTGTTCTTTGTATAAAAAAAACCTGCATTCATCTTAAGCAAAATTTCTGTTCAGAACCATATAAGGTTCTGAACAGAAATCTCCACTTAAATAATTTGAGGTGTGCATACCTCAAAAGCTCGAAATTGGATAAACTTGTACCCATTAAGAAGATAATAATCTTTTATACTGCATTATTTACTTTATGCTATCATGCAGATAAAGCAACAGATTATCTTAAATGAAAATAATTTGTTGCTTTATCTGCAATTTTGTGAATTTGCAAAATGTAAACAACAATTGTTTTTCCCTTTTTGTAGGGTAATAGAGAGTTTTAAACTCTATGTTGCATTAAGCCCCATTTCCTCAGTTCATATAATAAAATTTCCAATGTTATTGTATTAAGAGAGAGAGAGGGGTATTAAGCTCTACATGATAGAGACTAACTAACCAATAAGAAAACTTTTTATAACCATTCTTGGGTTTCTAACCAATGACGTTGATGTTTAGCATTTATAGATGAGTAGTTTTTCCATCCAGTTTTCAGTTTCCTTCAAACTTGTTTGAAATCATCAGTACTTGTTTTTTTTTGACTTATTTAAAAATTATTTCTGCACTGAAATCTTGTATTTTCCATCCAAATACAAGTACATGTTGACTAAGTAAATACTTTTTTTTAACTTTTTAACTATCTGTGTATGAAATCCATGAGTTAAATATTAATATTTGTAAAGCAAATGAAGGTAGAAATTTTAGCAAAGTAAAATGACAGTTGGATGAATGTCTGAGAGACATTCATCCAACTGTCATTTTATAGACTATTACTGTCATTTAATAATAGTTTATAAATAGTTCCAAATATAAATAACTGTTTATAAATAGTTCTAAAATTCACTTTAATAATGAATTTCTATTTGATATTTTGAAAGCGTTTCTAAGAAAAGTGTTAAATTCTAATTAATAATCTGCTGATTATCAATTAGTTAATAAAAAATAATTTTTTAATTAGCAGGGGCTTAGTGCCCCCAACTGTTAAAAAAGGTGATTAAAACAACAAAACAAAATTAATCAGATAAATAAAATCCTAGTTTTAATTTTATAAACAATACAAAGATATAATTTAAATTAAAAAAAAAGTTATTTATTTATAGAAATTGTTTAAATCTTTTTTTAAATATAGTTTTGATAATGGAACTTATTGCCTAAAAGATTTATTGACAAAAAGAAAGAGAAAGGAGGGAGGAAGTCCTATCCAACTAGCGACTCGCATTTGTCGCAAAGTTATGTTTTTTATTGGCTCAGTTATTTGTAATGTGTTACCTGCAAGTTGTATTTATCTATTTAAAAAAAGAATATTAAGGATTGTCAGGTTTGTTTGTAAACGGTTAGTTTGTGTTATCTGAATTTATTTTAGATCTAACCTGGTAACTGCTTCTAAGTTTTAGTATTATTAGCTATCGGTGAAAAGTATTTGTTAGTTGATGTTTTACGGGTTCTTATCTCAATAGAACTGTAATGCGATGTTTTGTTCCAACATCCAATATTTAATGGTATAGTTAGCAGTGGTAAGTAAAAATTTTCTTTTATTAACATTTTAAAGATGGCACTATCTAAATCTGTTATTATTCTAAAAATGTGGATTGTGCTCAGCAGGTATATTTTTCTAAAAACTTTTTAAACTTTACAAAACGTTTGCACTTTTCCATATGGAATTATGTCGCTAGTGCTATAGCCGTAAGCTCCACAGTTTTGGAGGCCCCGGTTCATAGAAAAAAATTTTTTAAAAAGAAACTCTGAAAATAAAACTTTTGATTAATCATGGAAAGAGGCCTCCTGCTTTAAAACAAACCTGGGCCCCAAAAAGTCTTAATCACTACTGTAATCCAGGAATAAAAATGTGTAAGGAAAATTAGTTTGCTAATTGTCATAATATGACAGAAAAACATGGTATTTAGGTGCGGATCTAGGATTTATTTTGAGATTGATTATGAGATAAGATTGAAGGCATATTATGCCTTCAATCTTTTTGCATAAAAAATCAAAATTTACACAAAAAAATTCGCCGAAGGAGAAATAAATCCTAGATCCGCACCTAAATACCATGTTAAATTGAGATATGAAATATGTTATATATAAGATTTATTTTTCACACTTTGGGAAGAGTTTTTAAGGTTAATCTTCGAGGGGGTCTGAAGTCAGAATTTGCAAAGTTTTTGGCCATGATACTTATGGAGTAAAACAATGATTCTTTTGAGCAACAGTTTTGGATTCCTGGGCACCAAACGCCCCTAATGTAGACCAGCTGACAAACCATTTCTTAGTGAGTTCAACTTTATTGTTATATCTAAGGTTTCAAACCTTCTGATAAAAATTGTGTAAGAAAAAATGTGGTTGGCTCCTGTATTATTACAATAAAGCACAAGTTTTCAATTGGATCAAAGCCCTATAACTTTTACTTGATGTTATGTTTAATTAGAAGTATCAATTTGTGAACTATTATACAATACTCATCCTATATAAACTTACTTTAACATTACAACTCACTCAAATACCAACAGCAGTTGCAATCAACTAATAACTTTTCGGCATATAAACTTTTATAACCTCTAGTTAGAGGGAGGGAGGGGGGTCAAAATTCTGTATTTTTTATTTGATCTTTTATTCTAATAAGTTATTCTTAATTAATTTTTTTTAGAAAAAAATCAAAAAAAAAATTCAGTTTGCTATTTTTTTGTGGTTGACTTTCTACTTCTATTTTTAAAAAAACTTATGAACTAGAAATCTGTGAAACGTGCTTTTCGAGAGCAAAGTTACGCAACTTTACGTTAAAATTTATGCAATTTAAATTTTGATTAGATAACTTCGAATTAAAAAGAATAAAAGTTGCGTTTAAACAAAAAATAAAATTGTAAATTGTAAATGTAAAAATTTACTTATAATTTACTTCGCTAGTAAATGCTTATAATATATCGATAACGATTAAAATGAAAAAATATTACAACAAGACAAACTAGTAAATCAAAAGCTAGTAAACAAATAAATCAAAATTAATAAGAAATCTCTCAGTAGTTGACGAACTTTATCATAAGAAGTTGCCTTTACTCAAGGTTGTTTTTGTACTTGTCTTTAAAGGAGTCAACGATAAATTATCTTTTGGAAATTTTCATTAAAAAAGATTGACTGCTCAGTAGTCGTAGAAGTAGTTTGTATATACGCATCAAAAAGCCTGGATAATCATTTTTGCAAATATAGTTTAGAAAAATTTAGCTATATTTCTTCAACTTAAAATAAGAAAGTATAATGAGCTTGGAAAAAGATACAATAATGGATGAATAACTGGTATATTACGTTTTTAATCAAGTTTTTACAATTAATAAAACAATTACAAATAACATTAAACTTAAGCCTCAACGTGACAGTCTTTGCAATCGGTTTCGGAAATACCGTCAATTACAAAAATTTCTCGTGGTAATATACTTCAATATTCAAACCATAGCGAAATCAAGATTTAGGTAATTTAGAAACATTTCGGGTAATGGGTCTTATTGTTAAAAAGATTTGTAAATATAAAATAGGGGAAAAAGGGGCAAGATGACTTCATATAATCACTCGACAAAAAAATAGATAATACTACATAATGATTACGTAAATTATTTATAAATTATATTATATTCTTTGATAGTAATAATGATTTCATTAAATTAAACAATCGATTGTTTTGTCAAAATATTCACTTTTATTGAAATTAAAGTAGAAGGCAAAATATTTGAAATGAAAAAAAAAGTATTTAGTAATTAGAAATTAGCATAAAAAATTAGGAAAAAGGGGTTAAACTACACAAAATCCAAAATAAGTTAATTTTGAACCCTTTCTCTACTCTAATAAACAACAAAATATTTATGTTAATAGTTCCGCAAACTAGAATTAATTTTAGTAATAAATAAACGGAACAACTTTTATGATTAAACTTAAATTGAAAACAAAGTAGATTTTAAAAGTTAAAACTATTTTTATAACTTGGCCAGTCACCTACCATGCCAAAGTCACCTTATTTTACAGTAGAAAAAGATAGGCATCTTATGTTATCGGTTTGATCATACACACATTTGGTTTTATGTCTAAAAGTTCGAAAAAAAAGGCTTAACTCAACTCTTAAACACAAAGAAAACTTGTTTACGTCATTCTACTTTTCACTGTCTTGTGTTTACGTCATTATATTTTTCATTGTCTTGTGTTTACGTCATGCTACTTTTCACTTTTACTTTTGAGTCAAAAATCTGAAGTTAAAACAAGCATTGTAAATAATAATTTATAATAAATTTTATAAATATTAACAGGTATAAAAATAAAATTGATTGATATACACAACAAGCTTTTACAAAACCACTGAACGAATTATATAGAAAACTATTGATGGTGCAAACATGTTTAGATTACATCAATGTGATCAAAACTTGCATGTTATTTTCTCAATTGATAAAATTAACATAAACAGCAACAACGATAACAAAAAATTATCCTAATGCTTGGGAAATAAGATCTTTTTGTTCAGACGTCAACCGCTGTGGAAAAATAATATTAAACAAAATGACTAAATCGCCTCTATTGTTGCTCTTAGATATCGGCATACCTTCGTTCTCTACAACTTTTTTATAACCGTGACTAAAAATGCAATTTAAAAACACAATTAAAATTTTATTTTTCAATATGACTATAATAAAAATACACTTTAGGTTGGGTTACTTTTTAAAACAATTACAGCGTAAGAATTTAAATTGTATAGCAATTATACAGTTCACGCATATTTAGGAACCATGCATCACGTGTCGCATATCAATAATTGGATTTTAAAGAACTACAAAGTAAAAGTGTTTATTTGCAATAAATTTTACTTCAATTTTCGTATTATACCCTTACGGAAACATTCCATGGAATCCTAAAAGTATTCCGTAGAATTCCATGGAAATCCCATGGAATTCTATTAGTAAACTATGGTTTTCCCATGGAAATTGAAAATATATGGAATTTCCATGAAAATTAAAATCCAATGGAATTTCCATGAATGAACCATGGTTTTTTTTCTTAGCTCATGTTGCACCATGGGTTTTACAAATGCGCGTTTAAAGATGCTGTCGTGCATATATTTATCTTGTTCTAGCTATTGCCAATAGCTTTGCATAACCTGCATTAGTATAGCAAGTATGTCAAATAAATCAGTTTGATTTTTAATGTTTTAGGTTTAATGTACATTAGATAACTAGTGTATTATATAAGCTTAGATAAGCAGATTATTGGAAAAGATTAGATAACTAATGTACAAAAAGTGCATTAGTTATCTAATCTAGTAAAATGTATTAACTTTTTAAATTTTTTTCTAATGGCATTAGTTTGCATAAAAATGTTTGAAGTTAAAACATTTTATTGTATGGTAAATATTTATTAAGTTTGAAAACTTGTTTTATTCAATTTTAGTTCTGTTAAGTTGTTTTTGTCTTTTTGTTGACGCGACCATTCTAGTCGGGATTTAGTTAGCGACCAGATCTAGTAGGGAAATTTATTGTGTTTTTTCTTTACTATTAAGTAGCAGAATTATTAGAATATGTAAACAATGTAATAGGTTGCGCCGCCAACTTTTAAAGTTTTTAGTGCAATCGCACTTATAAATGGCCTTAATATTTTTTGGATTGAATGTTGTATTAATGATTCTTTTTAATTCGTTGAAGCTTGAAGTTATTATCAAATTTATATATACAAACAATATCAAATAGTTTATATAAAATAATAAACATGTAAATTGTTATATTTTCTGTAAAAATTGTTTTCTTAACCTATTGTTTATCAGAGTAAGTATGCGATAGTGGTGTAGTGGTAAAACACTCGCTTCATAAGCGAGAGGTTCGGAGTTCGATCCCCACTACGTCCCTGGTAGTACCGCGCTCAACTTGTTTCTCCGCGCAGCGATCTTGTTCGTCAAGGTTCGTGTTTCGGAGTTATAGAGTTGAGAGAAGGTTATAACCACTATTAAGTAGCCTCCTCGTCTTTAGTGGTCTTCTCAGCCTTGAGGAGGTGAATAACAAAATTAAAAAAAAATAAATAAAGTATATCACTTTTAGTATGATATTAATGAAGTTTTTTGTTTTATTTATTTTCGGTATGCTTATAGATATGCACGCATTAAATATTTTGCTTAGGTTAAATTTTAATGTTTCAGGTGGATTATAGCTATTATTTTTCTAAGATTTGTAGGATTTAACAAGATTAAAATTTTATTTCGTTAATTAATTTTATTCCGATACCAAATTTACAATCCGAAAAAATCCCGATTTTATTCCGATCCGAAAGCGATCCCATAGATTAAAAGAACTCAATATTAATAGCGAGATAAAATTTGCGTTTTACGGTTTATAAGATTAAAAAAACATTAGATTTCAAAAAACTTAAATATGCTATTCTACCACAGAAAACCCATGGAAAAACCATAGAATTTAAATGGGTAAAACTCATTGCTGTTCCGTGGAATACCCATGGTTTTTTTCACGGAAATGTCACGGTTTTTCCATGGAATCTCCATGGTTTTTCTATGGAAAATCCATGGAAACGTGTTCCAAATACCCATAAAAATTCCATGGATATTTTTATAGATTTTCCATAGAATTTCCATGGATTTTTCCAAAAGTATTAAAAACTTCGATGTTGTTTAGAGCAACATTGATACAAGAACATTTTTACATATCTACCTATCCATCATCATTAAACTAATAAAGAACGACTTTAACAAATTTGTTTAACTTTAAGAAATTTATTGTTAATGCATAGCTGATCAGCATTTGCTCTGCAACTAACTCATGTTAGTAATATGACTCATGTTAGTAACTAATTTTAGTAACTCATGTTAGTAACTCATGTTAGTAACTCATGTTAGTAACTTAAGTTAGTAACTCATGTTAGTAACTCATGTTAGTAACTAATGCTAGTAACTCGTGTTAACAACATGAGTTAGTTGCAACAATCTGTTATGTAAACTTTTTTACATAACAGATTGAAAAAATAAGTAGATACTGTAAAACAGGTTAATTTTAGCTTTTATCCAAAAAACAATTGTAAATTTTATTAAAAAAAAATTCCGTGTTTTAGTTGTTTATGCTTTGTCTTTTGTCAAACAAAAAATTTTATTAAAAGAAAACTCCCTTTGATCCAGTTGTTTGAAAACTAAATACAAGTCATATACCTTCAATTTCAGCAGAAACTATTTTGCAACATTCACAAGAAGCAAAATAACCTTTTTATATTTATATAATTTATTATACAACTATTATCCTCACATAGTGTTGCTTCTCACAACAAAATAAAAGTATGTAATAGATGTGTATAAAATTGCGTATATAAATGCTGTATAAAAGTATTATAGAATTATAAGCTATAACCAAATATAAATCTATTTAAACTATGTTTAAAAAAATAAAATAAAATCATACCAGATAATTTCATTCACTGGAATACTAAGAACTCGACCGTCGAGTGTTGGTACATCAATGATGCAACCAATCAACGCCTAAACAAATAAATTCAAAAAACAATAATTTAAAACTTTGAAACGGCTCTGGTGAAGAATATATTTACTAGAGATGAACCACAAATATCCAGTTAATTCATCAAAATTTTTAAACGTGTTGTCCAGGGTTTGGGTCAAATACATTTGATCAAATGCAAATACTTTAATTGTAGATTCCAAATTAATTACAAATTCAAATACAAATATTTGGAAATTGCTTTTTTCAAATACAAATATTTGTATTTTTAAAAAAAAAAAAAAAATATTTTACCCCATTATAATATATATATATATATATATATATATATATATATATATATATATATATATATATATATATATATATATATATATATATATATATATATATATATATATATATATATATATATATATATATATATATATATATATATATATATATCTTATATAAAATATATAATTTCTTGATTTTTTTCCAAAAAATCTAGTTAATGGAACTACACATACATTTCAATCAAATACAAATACAAGTATTTGAAAAAAATTAAAGGTTATGAAAGCCACTACAGTTGAAGAGGATACTTTAATTGTGGGTTACAGCACTCTCTCAACTCTATAACTCTGAAACATGAACCTTGACGAACAAGGCCGATGCACAGAGAAACAAGTAAAGCATGGTACTATCAGGGACGTGATGGAGATTGAACTGCAATCTTCTCACTTATGAGGCAAGTGCTCTACTACTACTGCATATTACAAATTTATACACAAATATTTGACCCCAATCCTAGTCTTGTCGAGCCTGTATTAAACTTTTATATAAAATAAAAAGTTTGTATTTATTTATAATCATGTTTTTATAAACATCGTATAAATATATATCATGACTTTACGACCATGATTTGAAGATGTTTCTAGAGAATTGGTTTTTGTAAGATCATAACTTTGTTTCGCAATTATTCAAAATTTTTCTTGCACTTAATTATTGTAAAATTTTCAATACATAAGAAGTATTAAAAAATAAACATAAAAATATTTTAAAGATATTTTACAAATAATAACCATTGTACCTTAACCATTAAACCTTATAAAAGTTATAAATAGTATAATTCTAATGTACTTTTAATTGTTTATATCAATTATGAATAACAAAGAACTTTTTAAAAACTTTTATTAAATAGCAGATTTGCGTGGTCTTAAAATCATTTAGATATTTATTTAAAAATTGCATGTTCTTTATATAAAAAAGAAATGCGCACATAAGGCAAATATTGCGCATATAAGCAAATAATATACACATAAGGCAAATATATGCGCACATAAGGCAATATAAAAGTGACAAGATTATTTAACTTTTGTCAGCAAAAATTAGAAAACCAGAAAAAATTAAGGCTTATCATCTCAGATAAACTATTTAAAAATTTTTTTAAATCCGTGGCATAAACAAGTTTATTTGATAGATAAGAATAAGTTAGATAATAGACACCTACTACATAATTACACACATACTACATAAATAAACTCATTGGACAAGTCATCCATCAGCAAATCTTTTTCAAAGATTGCTGGTTAAATTCATTACCTAGCCATCTGTGAAAAAAGTTCAATAATTTTTTAAGTAAACTAATTGTAAATTATACTATGTATGCAAATAATACTAATTATATATTATGTTTTACTAATTATTCAATAAACAAGTAAAACTTTTTTTTACAGTATTTTTAAATAGGAAATACTCCTTTCAAGATTTAAACTTCAAGATTTGTCTGCATCATGGAAGAATTGAATATGTCATATAGTATATACAACAAAATTCACAGAACTTTTATTCGAGTAGTAATATCATTAATTTTATTTGAGTAGTAATATCAAGCAAAAGAAAATCAATGAAATTGATAAAAAAAAAACTTCATTTGCATATTTTACCTCACAAATTAAAAAATCTAGGATTTAAGTGTTCATTTGTTTTTGTACTAGTTGTGTGCATCTAATAAGTAAAAATAAACTTTGCATGTGCAGAGTTTATCTAAACTCTCGTTAACTATATTGTCATAGTTAGAAAAGAATGTAGCATTATGGAAAGCAGTGTAAACCATGGATATTTAACTTAAAAAACTGGATGACTGGATGTGTAGACATCTAGTTGTTATTGTGAACCCTGGCTGAGACAGAATGTTTTGCAAAGAAATAAGCTCACCTTAAATATAAATAGAAATAAAAATGTGGTAATAGTTTTATCTAGTAATAAAAATGTGGTAATAGTTTTATCTAGTAATTATCTAGTAATTAGTAAAGTCAATTTAAAGGTTTATACTGTAAAGTTGATATAATCCTCTACATATAGCTAGAATATCTCCAACTTTTAAGATTACTCTTAGAAAAAGTTCTATTTTCCACAAAATAGAATTATCTTGTTTCTACAGTTTATAACAGCACAATATAACGGCATTGTTAAAACAAATGGAAAAAAAAAAAGATTTGCTACTTGTTATTTTAAATAGTTAAAAAATATCCAACTTGGTATCCAGAATAATTTTCTGCAAAACTTAAATTGACTAAAAACATACCTTTTTAACAACATACCTCTTTAAGAGTAACGGATGCAGTATAAATAACATTATCTCCATCTCGTTGAAATAAAACATGAGGTTTGTCTTTGATCAAGAATATAATATCCGCTGTAAACATTATAAAGTGTGTGTATACATACATATATATATATATATATATATATATATATATATATATATATATATATATATATATATATATATATATATATATATATATATATATATATACAGTGGTTTTCATAAATTTAGACGCACTTATATTTAAGAATAGAAATTTTTAGTTTTTCAACAATAAAACAATGACGAAAAAAGATTTTGGTTTAGTTTTTTTTCTATTTATTAAATAAATACATACAGAATACAAAATTTAAAAAAACTTTACAAAAAAAATGAAATACTAAGTAATTATTAGGTACAACTACATGGTATTAAAAAAATTAGACAAAAAAAAATATTCATAAATTTAGACGCACGATACATTGGAAGGCGTAATTTATGAACCAATCAATATTTTGTGTATCCCCCTTTTGCTTTAATACAACTAAGAACTCTTCTAGGCATAGACTCAACAAAATTTTTGCGCATCGCTTCTGGAACCCCATACCAGGTCTCCTTAAGGAATTCCTTCAGCTGAGTAAGTGTGGAAATTTGAACCTTTGCTAATTCACGGTCAATCCAAGCCCAAATGTTTTCAATCGGGTTTAAATCAGGTGAGTATGGAGTCCACGGTATTGTCATGATACTATAATCGTTGAACCACTCCTTTGTATAGTATGCAGTATGTGCAGTAGCGCCATCTTGTTGAAGTTTCCATGGTTTATCATTGTGCATAAGCAGGTCAATTGATGAAATTAAGTTGTTTTCCAGTACTTCTACGTATATTCTGGAGTTGATTCATCCGGTGTATATTTGGTACATACCAACACCTTTGTAATTGAAGCATGACCAGATTCCTATCGAGCCTCCTCCACTTTGTACAGTCAGTCTAATGTACCTGGCGTAATACTTTTCATGAGCCATTCGTTTGACTGTTATGTTAGATTTGCGATTGATAAGCTCAAAGTTACTCTCATCACTCCACATAATGTTTTCCTATTGTTCTATTGTCCAAAACCTTCTTTCACAACACCATTTTAGTCTCCTTTGTTTATCATATGGACACAGAAGCGGTAACTTCTTAGAAGCAGTGTAGACTCCAATTTTGTATTTGATAAGTATTCGGTGGACTGTGCTTTGAGAAATAGATTTATTTCGCGTTGTATTGAATTCTGTGGTTGATTTTTTGTAACTAATTCTTGGATTAGCTCTGACAGCTCTAAAATGAACACTATCGTCCTTTCTGGTGGTTGACAAGGGTCTACCTGGCCTTTTCTTGCTGGCACCACCAGTGTGAAGAAAGTTTTTTTCCGTTGTCCGAACGCATTTCTCAGAAACTCCAATTAACTTGGCAATTTTTCTATTACTTTTGGTTACTTCTTTGATGTGCGCAATAATTTGCCATCTTTCACCTTGAGTGATACTTCTTTTGCCCATTTTTCGCATCTTTTTAGTGCAAAACTAACTTAACTTTTGTTTATTTATTAAATGATGATTAACTAATTCCAGGTAAGTCATATTTATATAAGGTTTTTTGACAAAATCAATTACTTTAGGCCTATTAATGAGAAATATGGGGAAAAAACTACTAATTAACTATCAATTAACAAGATATAAGACTTTTTTGATTGTGCGTCTAAATTTATGAACAAAATAAAATCAAGCTTATCAATTAACTTTTTTGTGTTAATCGGTATAGAATGAGTAATAAACATCCTCTAAAAAAAAATTAAGGTACTCTTTAATAGAGTTTCACTTCCTCTTGTAAATTATATATCAAACATAGCGGTAGTTTATTTTATTTTTATTTTGAGTATTTTCTTACATATATGAAAAAAAATTAATGCGTCTAAATTTATGAAAGCTACTGTATATATATATATATATATATATATATATATATATATATATATATATATATATATATATATATATATATATATATATATATATATATATTCAAATTTCAAAATAATATAATTATTGTGCTGAAAAACGTGTAAAAACTATAAAAAATAGGAAAAAAAATTAGTTATTAACTTTAGAATGAATAATGACCAGGCCTAAAGTTTTTTTAATTCTTTTTAAATACTTATGGGGTATTGCAATAGTTAAAAAAAATAACATATAAATAGTATAGATATTTTCTTGGTGCTTTTATATTTATTTATAAGCGCTTGAATTCAGTATGTTTCTCTATCATATCTCTTTTGCGTATTTATAGTTAGTTAAGATTTTTTACTTTTTTAAAGACATTTTGATTAAATGTCTTCAAAAAATATTTCTTACGTTATGTGTTGTTGCTTTAAACAGAATAATTGTTGACCTTACATGCAACCTACTTCAAATGTAGATAAAATCTTTGAAACAAGCCAACTCACTAAAAATATACAACTGCATATTACCAACCTAAAGGTAAACTAATATTATACTATTTTTTTAAAAACTCGAGTTTAAATAGATTTGTAACTGTAACTTGTGAATCCTAATAATTAGTTTTTATTAATTAGTTTTTGAATCAAAATAAAGAAGGTTGTAAACTAATGAAATTATTTTAAGGTCTTAAAGAGTTATGAGGTAGCTGGTGATTGGAATGAAAAATCTCTAATTGAAAATCGTTTAAAAAGAAATTTTAACAATACAGAGAAAATATGTGCATATCATTGCTACATAGGATAGAAACAATGAAAAAAATGTATGTACCCTTATCACAAAGTACAAAATAGGAAGAAAGCATTTTTAGGGCAAGCCATACCAATATCTATGACACTTCAAATATCTTCCCATTATAATTCATACATTCCAATCAGTTCAATTATATGTAATCGTCATTGAAAAGAATACAATTCCGAGACAAGGAATAAAGAAACAAAAACAATAACTGAACACGATTCTACATCAACAGCTACTGATATTGATTATATACCAGATAAGTTTTTACAAAATCAAGAAAAATGCAAGAGAAATATAAACATATGGAAGATACCTTCAGAAATAAATTTGCAGAATGTTTTGCGCCTTGTCAATCAGAAGAGTGTTTAAAAGTGCTTGAAGATGATGAAAATGCCAAAACAGAAATTCCAGATGAAATTGAAAAACTTGTATAAAACAGTGATGCAACAAGTCAACTTTTAATTTTGGCATTTATGGAAAGCCTCACAAAAGGTTTTGTACTACCCCAAAAGAATTTATATACAAGAAGTAGACTTTCAATTCCAAAATGTGAGCATTTTTTAGATTTCATCTTTATAAGTGGACTGTTACAAGATGTTTCTTATGGTATTTCCAAAATAATATATGACAGTGGTGATGTTGAAACTGTAGTTAGTGCCATTTTAACAGCAAAAAACAGTCACACCATTACTTTATATAGAGAAAGTTGCAAAGAAATTAAGTACAAGCCTTTGTCTAACTCAAGTTTAATGCAGATACTAGATAGAATTAAACTATCTCATAAAAAATGCATGGCTGGTTTAAATGACATACTACTGCTGGGATGAATGCATCTGCAACACTTGAACATTTCGCAAATATGTTCAATAAAAAATCAACTGTTGAGAAACTTGAAAGATCAAAAAGGTATTTAAAAACTAAATATAAACTTCATTGCAGCTATTTGAAAAATCAAATTGTAACACTTTCAACTTGATTTGCCTGTTCTGATCCTGGAAACATTAAAATGCAAACCATTTTAAATGATTCTGTATGCTTTGAATGCAATGAATTGTTTGAATTTTTAGAACAAGTCAACCAAATAGGAAATGAAAACAATGTTGGTGATGATATATTATATGACATTAAAGTATTAATAGGCAGTATTACAGAGAATATGAAACACCTCTTAAGAGATCCACAACAGAAAAAGACAAAGAATGATGCATATAAACAACTAGATGAAAAAAAGGCATCTTGGTTGAAAGACTATTCACAAAAGATATTACCTGTGAAGTTTAGAGAGGGTCAGAAGGACTACTTTGGTAAGAAAGGCATAAGTATGCCTAAAATTCTAAATACAAGCATCTACCACTCCTATGAGTTCTAAGAAAACATGACTTTGTGGCGATAATATGAAATTACAGATGGAATTAAAGTGCTTTACAACAACCTTTCAGTTGAACCATCAATTGAATTGCTTGTTTTATTCACAAGTACTGAAGGAAACTTTCAGCAAAAAACCTAGAGTGGAAAAAAGAAGAAAAAATGTGATTTAAATACACTATATTTTTGCCAGGAGACTGGTTGTATTGAATCTTTTGAAAATATTATTGAGTTAGAAGAGCTATGCAGACAGAACACAAAAAATCTGAACAATCTTTTTCTTTAGATAAGGTAAATAAAGTTTATACTGAAAAGATGAAAGCAACTTTGCAAGTTCATTTTAATTCTATAACCGCATCGGCTAAGATCATGCCTGTCCCAATAAACAATATATATTCTCAAACGATCCATCAATTAGGTTGGATATTGCCAACAAGAAAGACTTTTCATTTTTCCATTAAGCTGAAAAAACTTCTTTATGAATACTTCATAAATGGAAAAAATACAGGAAACAAGATTTCACCAGAAGAGGTAAACACAGCAATAAGAAAATATCTTACAGCTGATGAGTTTGTTTTAAGCCAACAAATAAGATTTTTGTTCTCTAGATAGATTAAACTTGAAATTTCTTTAGATAGAGTAAACTGTTAAAACTTGGAAAGTTCAATGCTCCGACTAATAAAGAAGACGATAACAATGAACTTAAAAATGAAGAAGCCAAGAAATATCAAGAAGAAAAACTTGCAACTGAACTTTCTGTTATATGGTTGAAAGATGATTGGGTGGCAGTTGTTCACAAAAACCAATGGCATCCAGGAGTTGTTGCAGAGGTAAAAAATTTGTATATATTAGTAAACCAAAAACTTATTCTATATAAAACAAAGTAAAAAGGTAACATTACATCAACAACAATATTAAAACTTAAATAAGTAAAAAGGTAACACTCATCAACAACAATATTAAAACTTAAA